CCATAAAGCCATGGCCATGGCGGATATGGCGGGCGCCATGGCGGATATGGCGGGCGCCATGGCAGATATGGTGGACACCGCTATATAACGGGAAATAAAGGATAGTGAATGGCAGAGGGGTTCAAAAATGCCACGTTATACCTTTATGGCGGTACCATAAATGTTATTTGATAACATTGATAAAGGTTAAACTAGTGTTATTCTATTGTCTCAAACTCTCACTCATTTATGGTCATTCTCTGCATAACTTTGGAAAGTTGCATAACCATTTAAATTTACAAGAGGTCAATGCTTGTCCTTCGTTTTCAACAAGTTATGCTCATAGAATACAAACTATGCACATTGAGGTTCTAATTTGCTTCACGACAAATGGGTTTTCGAAGGGTACTACTGTCGCCTCTTATTTTTATGCAAGGCTGTGGCGTAAATCCATCAATCATGAAATCAATCCACAGTGTGGAAACCATTATTGTAGTGGAATTCGTAAAATTAGACGAACTTGTCCGATCATGAAAAGTATCACATCACAAGCTGTTTTGCTAGCTTGCCGCTGTTCGGCTCAAACTTAATCTTCATGTATGGATTTGTCATTTTGTCTGTAATTTTGCAACAACTTCAATTTAATATCCAGTGCAGAAAAGGAAAATGTTATTTGCATAGCTAATGTGAGATAGTTATTTTTTTTGTTTTCTTTGATTTTAGACGGATACAAAATAATTACTAGACAGAAACAAGCATATATAAATAGCTATTAAGAGTCTTAATTGGATCAATTTTTCTATAAATGTTTCGAAAAAAAAATAATAATTTTTTTCATCGATTAAAATTAATTTATGCACTAAAAGTTCTTTCATATAACTTTTCTAAAAAATTACAAATTAGCTTTTATATATAATCTAGTTTTAACTTAAAAAAAAAGTTTGTTTTATTTTTTCTGTCAACTTTTTCCTACCAAAATATTTCTAAAGAGAATCTTAATTTATCTAAACAGACCCTAATTATTAATCATTTAACATTTAAATAATAAAACTATTTAAATGACATTTTCGAAAGAATAACAACTAAAGTAACATCTCCGTAAAGAACTAAAATAATTAGCAAATGAAATATGAGGAACTAAAACAAGTATCTATTCATAATTTATTTACTCTTTTCAACTATGATATTTTTTGCGGTAAAGAAGCCTGTTCTCTTCCATCAATTCAATTCCTAAAATGAGTAGTGGAAATCCTGTGAAACACTCCACAAAATGTGCTTTACTTAAAACAGCATCTGATATCTTACTATTGATATTCCTATCAACAGGTTCAAGATGGGAAGGGTGTTACATCATGTGACTAGTTATTGTGTTGTCATTTTGAATAGAAATCACAAACATAGGTTTCCTTCCAACTAACCACCTCCCTCCATTCACGGACATAGCAGTTCACACAGCACGTTATTGGAAAAACTGCTGCCAATTTCTTATGATACTAGAAAAAATTTAGCCCTATATATCTTCCACTGTTTCCTTTGGGTGGCTAGTTATCAGTGCCTATTGTCATTTGACCACACAATATATAGTGATTCTCGTTTTCTACATCTCACAGTAGAGTCAAACAGTGGCGTTGCGTTGATGATATATCTTCATCATTTTCAGCTCGCAGAAGTGGTAACCCAAGTGAGACTTTGAACATGTTACATAACTTTTTTAGTAGTTATAGATTTTCAGCAAAATTGCATGTTTCTTGCCGGTAATTACTGCAATTAGATTACATTGTCTACTACAAAATCAGCTCATATATGATCAGATGATAGACCAAGTGGGTTTGTAGTACGTTGTAATTTTTATATTACTTTATTTGAGTGACTAAAGCTCAATAGTTACATCAGAAGCTGCTTTTCATCATGTCCAAGGGTTTGCTAGAAAAAAACTTTGTTGCATAGATTGATCACTCTAATTCAGGGGCGTGGGACACATCATATGAAAAATCTACTTGAAAGTAACTTAATATTCGCTTAGGACAAGTACTGAGCGAGCAATCTCTGTTCACGTTTTTGAGGGGTATTATACGAAAACTAAAATTTAACAGTACAATCAGTGGTTAGCTTATCAATTTATTTTTGTTGCTTTCTCTGATTACATGTTGCAGGGTTTGGCCCCGGTTAGAGAGTACTTCAAGATTTCTCAGTAAAAATTACAAAAAGTAAAGACGAACATGGTCCAGTTTTTGAAAAATTAGAAAGGAAAATTATTTAGAAAAGAAGTGAAAAGAAAATAAATAGTAAGAAATTGTGGATTTTAAATATGGCGCGATGTTAATTTCTTCACATTTCTCTTATTTTTGTGAGGAACATTTTTATCGTGGGACTCATACTGATTATTAAAACTTAATCGATTGTATTCTTCAACCTCGCGTTTGTGGATGATCCTCGAGGAAAACAAACGAGGGTCATGTTTGGTGAATTCCTTTTTAAATTGTGACCGAATATTCTTTTATGTCTATTAGAGATATACAAATTAGTTACATGTCAGTTACACTGTATAGGAAGTACTATAAGCTTTATTATACTCTTCGAAAAACCACTTTTCTCATTTGTATTCCTCTAATAACGTCTTTACATCTCTTCTCAGTTGGTAAGTTTACCAATATATGCTTAGCCATGTTACTATTTATATTATTACATATAAAAAATAAAAGAAATAAAAGCACAGAATTCGCCACCCCAATCTCCATGTCCATTTCACTAGCACCTGAAAATGTAAAAAATGATAAACAGAGAAAGGAACCATTCTGCTCTACACAAGTTGAGATTTTAATGACAAAAAGAAGTTAACACTCATTAAGCTGCTAGAATCTGCTTTGAGCAGCAGAAGCACTAAATCAACTAGCACACTGCAAGTTACACGTTGGACAGTGATTAGCAGCCGCAAATGATACAACTAAACATTGCAGCAAAGAAATAGAGGATAGTTTCTGGGAGCTATGTTGTAAGAACTCTTTTCCTTAGAGATAGACATGAGAGGTAAGAACCAAAAAGACTAAAAAAAGAAAGAATTACTTAGAAATGTATATTCACATACAAAATTGGTAATAATACATCAGTTGCTATCTCCATAATTATTAATTGTGGAACAATTGGAGTCAGGGGTTGAAAATACGGTTCCCACATTTGCATTTCCAACTCATAGGCTTGTAGTTGGAACCACCTTCTCCCATTGTGTAAGCAATGGTAGTAGACACATTTGAAGAGTTGATCTTCCCGTTCTGTGCTTGGGGATTTGTAGGTACTTGAATGGCTTCACAGTGTCCACAAGACCTGCACCTTCTCTCACATCTTGGTGGCCTTGAACCTATCTGTGCCCTCACCATAGCCTTATCATCATGTACCTGATCAAAACCATTCTGTTTTGGTGTCTTTCTACCTGTCAGCACAAATTAAAAGAGAAAACAATGTTAGTTGGAGATAGTAGTGCCTAATTAGAAGCTTTAAAAATCTCTCATTTACCTTCAGTGACAAATCCCATCTGGGTCCAACTAGAAATTATCAGAAAGCAGAGAGAGATGCTAACAAAACTGAGTCTTTGAGCACAAATAACACGGTGATCACACCCCATTATGCTGTAGGGAAGGTGGAAAAGTGAAAGTGGATGGAGTTAAAAGAGAGGTGAGAAGTGAAAGGACGAAAAATATAGGATGAAGCAAAGAGCACTAACCGAATGACACGGTAGAAGGTAGGAATAAATATATTGCTAAAAAAGCCTTTTCATGGTGAAGTGATGGAACATAGAAGGACAAATGAGAAAAATGCAGAGGGGCAAGAAAAGGAGGAGCCCCGAAAAGGGAAACACCTCTCCTTCGGTCCACGAGCCTCTGTCCAAACAAGAAACCAAGATTATATAATAATTGCTGCAAGCCATTACAACCCTCAGAAGTGAGAACCACAAATTGCTGATAAAAAAGACAAGTGGAACATAGAAACAACAAAAGGCCACCAATTTCACCAGATGTAGGGAAAACCTACCACTAAAGGACATGCATTTACAGCTGTTGATTTTTGGTTTTTCATTTATGTGGAAAGAGGAAAAAAGAGAAGATAAATAAGTATAAGTATGATAGCACCTCTTTGGTTGGGATTCAAACTTTGGTTTACCACGTTTTGAGAGACTAACTGCGTCTGCTAGACTAGACCCAACTTGTGTTGATTATGTAAATATGATAAATGATATGACACGATAAAAAAAATTACAGAAAAAAAAAATAAAGGATGTTTGGTAGATAAAGTATTAATGGAGATTACTTTTCATTTCTTTTACCATGTACATGTAGAAGAATCCAGCCACCAAAACCAGCCAAACAACTTTCGGTGCTGGTGAAAAAAAATCAAAAGGGAAAATTACGATTTTGCCCCTAAGCTGAAGATGCCAAGAGCCATTTCTAATGAAACAATCCACAGTAGATGTCAACTTGGGATGCAAGGAGACATCTATATTAAGAATATCAATAATAAGCATTGAAAGCCACCTATCTATCCAAAAATTAACCTTCTTGCCAATTCCAATTTTCCAAGTAGAATTATCCTTGACAATTGAATACATATCTCGTATACTAGCCCAAATTGTGGAGGCCAGATAATAAATAACATCACCACTTCTCTTATAAACTTTACTGGCTAACATAGACGCCCAATTGCTATCTTTCTTAACAAAATTCCAACATAGTTTCAACATGTATGCATTATTGATATCCATAAGGGATCTAACACCGAGGCCACCTTCATCAAAGTTAGAGCAAACAATATGCCAATGGACAGTAGTAAGTTTAGATTGATAGATTGGACCAGACCATATAAAATTTCGAAACCAAGACTCAATCAACTTGAGTAAGGAGAGAGGCCATTTATAAACCTGAAAGTTATGAATTAACATGTTTTGAAGGACAAATTTTACAAGTAACACACATCCCATATAAGAGAGAAGAACACCTTTCCACATCGCAAGTTTAGATTTTATTCTATCAACAATGGGCAATAGAAATTCTGTTTTGGGTTTACCTTTAACATAGGCACCCTAAGATAATTAAAAGGAAGAGCACCTCTTGAGAAACCAAGACAATGACTAATATGATCAAGCCTCCTAAAAGGGATAGAATTTTTTACATAAAATTTGGATTTGGACAAATTAATATGCTGACCTGCTATATTACATAACAGCGAAACAAGGCCATTATATTGGAAAGATTTTGAAGGGAGCATTTACAAAGAATCTTAATATCATTGGTATATAAAACATGAATAGGAAAAGGAACCCGACAAGGCCCTGCTAAGAACCTCCTCAGCAATACAAAAAAGCATAGGAGATTCGGGGTCGCCCATCTAACACCTCTACAACAAGAGAAAAATCCAATAGGCTGACCATTAACAAGGATAGACAGCTCGTCTGACCTTAGAAGAGCAGATATCCAGTGACAAAAAACATCACAAAAACCAAAAGCCTTTGATACATTAATTAAAAAACTCCAATCCAACTTATCAAAAGCCTTGCGGATATCGATCTTTAAAGCAGTGTTACCAAAATAAATGTTTTTATCCAACAAATTTATAGCCTCAGAGGTTAAAGCAATACAATCAGTAATACTTCTGTCAGAAATAAAACCCCTTTGATGAGAAGAAACGACTTTATCAATAACAGAAGAAAGTCTATCAGAAAGGACTTTAGAAATGATCTTATATTTAAAATTAGATACAACAATAGGGTGAAAGTTTCCAATCTCATCAGTACCAGACTCTTTAGGGATTAGAATAACATGAGATGAATTATAATTTGGAATGATCATTCCTTGTTGAAAGAATTGAAGTACAAAGTTGTAAACATCCATGCGAATGATGTCCCAAAAGTGTTGAAAAAAGGATCTAGGAAAACCGTCCGGACCAATTGAACTATTAGGAGAGAGACTAAATACTGCATTTTTAACCTCCTCCATAGTTGGAAGGATAGCAAGTCTCATGTTATCAGAAGGAGTAATTGATTTGGGAATGACCTTTAAAAATTCAGAGCAGTCAGCAATAGGAACAACATGAGAAAAAAGGGATTTGGAGTGATCCAAAACATGAGTGTGAATCAGTTGGGTTAGACATAATTAAATCACCATACCTTAAAAAAGAAATATGATTAACAGTAGCTCTCAACTTAAATTTCCTATGAAAGAATTTAGTAAGCCATTGAATCCTGGCTTTTTGTTTAAAAAAGGATTCTTCACAAGAAAGTGCAAATTCAAGATCAATCATAGTTTGTTCTTTTTTAATCAAGGTATCGGAATATTCAGAAGTGGAAATTAGTGTTTGAATGTTATTTAGGGTAGAGGTTGCAGACTTAACAGTCTCATGAATATTGCCAAAACTATTCCTATTCCATGCTTTTATGTGAGATTTAACATTCTTAAGCTTTTGGTTAAAATATGCATAGGATTACCATAAACAGATAAATTCCAAGCATTAGCAACAATATCCCTACTCTTTGGATGCTGCAACCACATGGGCAAAAATTTAAAAGAGTGCATGGGTATCATCTGGATTGAATGCAGTTAAAAGAATTGGATGATGATCAGACCTGAGTCTGAGCAACACCTGCTATATTACATAACAGCGAAACAAGGCCATTATATTGGAAAGATTTTGAAGGGAGCATTTACAAAGAATCTTAATATCATTGGTATATAAAACATGAATAGGAAAAGGAACCCGACAAGGCCCTGCTAAGAACCTCCTCAGCAATACAAAAAAGCATAGGAGATTCGGGGTCGCCCATCTAACACCTCTACAACAAGAGAAAAATCCAATAGGCTGACCATTAACAAGGATAGACAGCTCGTCTGACCTTAGAAGAGCAGATATCCAGTGACAAAAAACATCACAAAAACCAAAAGCCTTTGATACATTAATTAAAAAACTCCAATCCAACTTATCAAAAGCCTTGCGGATATCGATCTTTAAAGCAGTGTTACCAAAATAAATGTTTTTATCCAACAAATTTATAGCCTCAGAGGTTAAAGCAATACAATCAGTAATACTTCTGTCAGAAATAAAACCCCTTTGATGAGAAGAAACGACTTTATCAATAACAGAAGAAAGTCTATCAGAAAGGACTTTAGAAATGATCTTATATTTAAAATTAGATACAACAATAGGGTGAAAGTTTCCAATCTCATCAGTACCAGACTCTTTAGGGATTAGAATAACATGAGATGAATTATAATTTGGAATGATCATTCCTTGTTGAAAGAATTGAAGTACAAAGTTGTAAACATCCATGCGAATGATGTCCCAAAAGTGTTGAAAAAAGGATCTAGGAAAACCGTCCGGACCAATTGAACTATTAGGAGAGAGACTAAATACTGCATTTTTAACCTCCTCCATAGTTGGAAGGATAGCAAGTCTCATGTTATCAGAAGGAGTAATTGATTTGGGAATGACCTTTAAAAATTCAGAGCAGTCAGCAATAGGAACAACATGAGAAAAAAGGGATTTGGAGTGATCCAAAACATGAGTGTGAATCAGTTGGGTTAGACATAATTAAATCACCATACCTTAAAAAAGAAATATGATTAACAGTAGCTCTCAACTTAAATTTCCTATGAAAGAATTTAGTAAGCCATTGAATCCTGGCTTTTTGTTTAAAAAAGGATTCTTCACAAGAAAGTGCAAATTCAAGATCAATCATAGTTTGTTCTTTTTTAATCAAGGTATCGGAATATTCAGAAGTGGAAATTAGTGTTTGAATGTTATTTAGGGTAGAGGTTGCAGACTTAACAGTCTCATGAATATTGCCAAAACTATTCCTATTCCATGCTTTTATGTGAGATTTAACATTCTTAAGCTTTTGGTTAAAATATGCATAGGATTACCATAAACAGATAAATTCCAAGCATTAGCAACAATATCCCTACTCTTTGGATGCTGCAACCACATGGGCAAAAATTTAAAAGAGTGCATGGGTATCATCTGGATTGAATGCAGTTAAAAGAATTGGATGATGATCAGACCTGAGTCTGAGCAACACACGGCCTGAAACATGCTGCCATTGAGAGAGAGGAAGAAGTCATTACACATGAATCTATCCGAGTTGATGCACACTTAATCATTCATGTTTTCTTAATTTTATTAGAATATGTTTTAGGACAAATGTGTATAGTGTGAAAGTAAGGATGCATTTATTATCTACTTGAATTAAAGAATTTTGCAATCTTAAGTAATTTTAGTTCAACAGTTGATACACACTTAGTCACTTCACCTCTCACTTTTATTAAAATTATATTTTAGTTCCAGTTTCTGTTCTTTGCCTAATTGCAGCTACCTGTAGGTACCAATATGACCTCAATGCCCTGGCTGCAACCTCTCAATTACGTTTGACATCAACTCGGGATCTGAATTTAAATGTTTCAGTTTCCAATGCTAATATGATCATTCAAGCTTATGCAAGCTGGAACAACCTTAGCCATGCTCACGAATGTTATAAAAACAGAGTAAAGTTTCTTTAACCTTTCTCATTTTTGCTACTTGAACTCTGCTTTTCTCTTGTATTTTACTTTGTCCACTTTTACATCATTTGTTTTCTCTTACCAGGATACATTTTCTCCAACAAATGGTGGAAACTCTATCATTGACACACTACATAAGAAAAATTATTATATAATCCCTCAAAACAAACTTGGTCAGGACATTTTTATTCGTGCTACTGAAGCTAGGGGTCTCCATAATATAATTCGGATGCCATCTGGGGATATGAAGGCTGTGAGAGTTCCGGTGTCCAAAAATATGCTAGAATCTCATCTGAAGGGTAAACTCTGTAGAAAGATTAGAACAATGGTTACAATCATCATAGCAGAAGCACAGGTATGATTTCAGTTGCTTTTAGTTTGCTTTTTGTGTTTAATTTTGGCAATCTCAGTTTTCAGGTAACCTTTAATACCTGTCATATCATGCTTATTTTTCAGCTCCCATATTTTTTTTTTCTTTGCATATTTCTAATGCAGTTTCCCCGAGTTGAAGGTTCAGATTCCCAGCAATATACAGTGGCTGTACGCCTTTCTCCTTATCAGAGCCTCCCTAGCGATGCATTGGTTCATCAACAGAGTGCACGCACACGTGGAAGAAGGGCTGCTATATTACATAACAGCGAAACAAGGCCATTATATTGGAAAGATTTTGAAGGGAGCATTTACAAAGAATCTTAATATCATTGGTATATAAAACATGAATAGGAAAAGGAACCCGACAAGGACATACTGTTTTATCATTACTCAGTTGTATTTTATTTGTTTTTGGCTTTGGTTTTGAACAGAGTGGGAAAGTGGGAAAATGAGGTGCAGCCTTATTTTTGTAGTATATGTGAAGAGAGTAGTCCCACCAAAATATGACGCCAGTACGGTACATTCCCTTCTCTTTTTTCTCTTTCCGTCTGAACTGGGAAAGAGAAAGAACATAATGTGTGGTTTGAACATTATGGTATTATCTTTTCACTCTATGATTATGCAATCACATGAGATTCTGGCAATCATTCTTCTTTTATTCTGGTTGGGGTTTGGTAAATCTGATGGAATGATTCAGAACATGCATTCCTTCTGTTGTGTTTCATAGTCACACTGCTAAGCTATCTAGTGACTAAATAACGAGCCTCTGCTCAACCTCATACCAATGCTAACATAACATCTTTCCCACGCTCGCTTCTCTTGTCGTTTTGTCCATTTTTTGGTGCATCAAACTCCAAACCTCACGCCTTACGCCATTTTAAATCTCGTTTAAGACGCCATAAACTGAACTCTCTATAAGCTTACCCACATTTGCAGTCAATAATTGACATTGTGGCAGAATCAAATAATGTAAAAACCTTGGAAGCCCCACAGGCCATAGCTTATTGCAACTATGCTTGCTAAATTACCAATCCAAAGTCCATTGACTTTCACACTGCACTCAGATCATCTACTACTACTGCCTAGCAACCTACTTTCAAATTCTTAAATATTCTTGGTTTATATAACACATGTATTTTTTATGGCATGTGAACCGGATTGTTACCATGGATGATAAGCCTCTCTCTTCACGTATTTAAGACAAATACATATCTAAAATTAATACTTGAGTTGAAAAAACCCTTACTCATTAATTCACTATTCCTTACTCTTTGAAATTCCTAAATGGCCTCTTGTACATACATCACCTGTTTTTTTTATTTTAATTTAAAATTTTCATCAGCACCCCAAGCTTTCAATCTAATACTCCATACTTAAAAAAAAAAAAAGGTTATTGACTAGTTTGACCAATAACTTTTTTTAAACAACTAATAACTCTATCTTTATATTTTATCCATAATTTATTTATTAAATTATAATTATTTTAAAGATATTTATCTGTACTATTATTTTGTGAAATGTTTATATTAGTATTAAATAAAAATTTAAAAATAAAAACAAAGCCAATTTTTATAAGTTTTAGGTTTTTTTTTTCAATGATTGAAAATAGCTTAAGTTACATAATTAGAACATACAAATTAATTTCACTCGGATGAATTAAAAACTACCATTAATATAATAATAATTACATAATAAAATAATAGTTAATTTTGAAAAACGTTTGGCGGAATGTTTCAAATTGCAAAAGCTAAATACCTTTTTTATTTCAAAATATTTCTTTGACTAAATTGCATTTTTGACCTTCTATTTTTATCAAATTATAATTTCAATCCCTCTATTTTAAACATTAGTCCCTCTCATTTATAAATATGAAATTTAGATTTTCTCATCGAATTAATATCTATTAATCATTAAGTTTTGATGTTTATTTATATTTAAATGACATGATATTTAATAATATAATATCTATTAATCATCAATATATGTGTGTGTATATATATATATATACAAATAAATATTAAATAAATGTTATTTTTAAATTTTTATTTCTACATGTGACGTCATAAATATCATGTAACATTGTGAATTTTATTAGTAATTGTCAATTTTATTAATGTAATTGATTGCGTATTTAATTCTTTAATTGTTGTAAAACTTTAAGGATTAAGAAATTCTCACAAGTTAATTGTTTAAGAGTTGTTTTGAATTGAAGTCAAAGTTAACTAGATTTAGAAGAAGGCGTATAAGGTTTTTCTTAAAACTTAAATTTTATAAGTTCATTTATTGATAAACCTATAAAAAAGTTAGAGAGAGGGGTTTTAGAGTCATAGAGATTTCCTTCTTCTTTTGAGTTCACCAAAGAGTTCTAGGATCTTCCTTAAGTAAGTTGAATAACCATATAGAGATTCAAAGCTTCTGAAATTGAGAATCAAAGACCTTAGAGTGGTCATGCAGTGTTCCTCAAAGGATTTCACCCTTCTTCTTCTTCCTCTGTTCTAGGTGATCAGAGGAAAGAATAGCTTGTATGATTGTTTCGTGCTATGTTGTGTGAATTATATGTTGCTTAGATTCATCAAATTATAAGTTGTGAGTTTGAATTGAGTAGGGAATACTTAATGTATAGTTTCTTTGGTTTTTGGTGAAATGAGAAGGAACCGGTGAATCTTACATTGGGTGGTTGCATGTTGATTTTGATGCTAAATTTTAGTTGCTTAAAGTATATAATTGTGTTGTAATGCATTGCATGTTGGTAAGTTGTTGATTTTTAGGTGGATTGAGCCAAAATATGATCCTACCAGGTGTAGAAATTGTTATTACGTTGGGCGTAGTTTCATGGTGTTAGGTGTGATGTAGGTAACAGACTCTTTACCTCACTAACGTCGGACACGAGATTGAAAGCATCGAGTACAAGTTAGAAGAGTGTCCTCTAACTTGGTCACACTAGACGTGGGTTGAGGGGTGACGTCAAATCCTAGTTAAGTGGTGTCAAGAGTGATCAAGGCAGTAGCTCTCTACCTATATGACATCAGGTGTAGATTTTGTGATATCGAGCATGAATTAGGTAGAGACTCTCTACTTGAATGAACTCAAGCGTAGATCTAGTTATGTCAAGCATGATTGATACAAGGGCTCTTTATCTTATTTATGTCGAATGCAAATGGATTAGTGATGAGTGTGGACAAACTAGAGGCTCTCGACCTTAATGATGTCGAGCACTGGAGAATAGTGTCAAATGTGGGTTACTGAATGAAAACTTGTTATTTATTTGACTAAGTGTTGGGCATGAGTTAAGTAGATTGAAGTACTCACATTATTTAAGTTATTATATGATTATAGTTCATTATTCATTGATCTATGATGATGTATAATGATGTTTAAGTTTCTTATTTTGTAAGTTGATTATGAGTGAAAGTTGATTAGTAGTAGAGTTAAATAGTGATAAATTGAAAGTAATTAAGTTGTGAATGCATGTAAGTAAACTATATAGATTAACTTAAGATTAGAAGAGAAATGTTGTTTTAAAAAGACGAATATCTCACTACAAACCAAAATTATTTACATTAACATTTATAAGTTAAAATAGAAATTTCAATGTCATGGAAATTTTTGTTCTTAAAAATGAAATAAAGGAGTTTTCTTGTTGGAGTAGAAGGAATATATATTGACAATTTGGGCCTTCTAAAATTTTAAACTTTTATTTTTGTGAAAAGAAGACGCGGCCCAGTTTGTACAACGAAGGATTCTCCGCTCATAATGTGTAGTCCAATCAAATGTTAAAGCTGAACCGACCCACTTTCTGAGCAAAAAGGAAATACGAAGCAACCACTTGATTATGATGAAAAAAAAGTTGACAAATAAAACAATATAAAATAAAACTGCAACTGCAAAAAAAAAAATCTAAAAATTGTTTTGCTCTTGTCTAAAGGGAAAATAGTAAGCATCAACCTTATTTTGGAGTGATTTGGGGTGGAAGGAAGAGAAAGATAGGGAGGAAAAAAAACTATGAAGAGAAAAAAAAAAGTGATATATAATATTTAATATAATAAAAATGAAGACAAAAAACATCTACACATGCCAGAATAATCTACACGCCACACGTTATTAATTAATTTATTTTGTTATATATTGACTAGATCACATGATTTTCGAATTATACAATACTTATACTTAATATTTCTTACTAAAGAAGAGAAAAAGAACTAATTGTTTCGCTGTTTAAAATGCTCCAAGTATGGTGAACAAAAAGTATGAAACTATTGAGTCTTTTTACACCAACACGTATAAATTTAAATTAATTCATAAGTATGAGCTGTGTGTTGTCTTAATTAACCGGTGAGGTTATGGATCGTAGTTGCTGCAATTAGGTAGTTGGTGCAATGTAGTCATCCTTTGGATGTAACATCAATCTGTTCGAATATTGTGGTTTGTTCTACTCGAACAAGAAGCAGCTACCGTATACATGCACGTCTAATTAAGAGACCAAACAACCATGTTTCGTTATTTTATGTTGCATCTATTCTAATGAATTATCAAACAACTTTCTTATTATCCAGCCACAATGCAACAACAATAATATATGTGGCAACAAGCCTACAGAAATTCATGATATTCATGGTGTAATTCTGTTCTATCTGGCTGATATCGACACAATACCAAATCTTGAACTTATCTTTTTGTGTATGTGCAAATTGGTTAAATAATCATCGACTCCAAAGCAATGACATAATTTTTAAATCTATTATCTCCCTAAAGAGGCAGAAAACAATTAAATGGTGCTTGGTAAAATCATTTTACTAGAAAATGGAGTATATATGAGACGTTTTTGACATTCACATCATGGGAAGATAATGAAGCCCGAAACTACTAATGGAAACAAACTAATTAAGAAGAACATTTGAAAGGGCGAGCATATTCCAAAAAGCTTAAGATTGTTATTTAAAAATGATTGGAGTCATTAAGAATATGTCCAGGTTTCTGCTTTACATGTATAATTGGCATGAATTGCACTTCCGTGTTATCGTTATTTTATCATTTTCCTCAAAAGTTGAGCAATTCGAAAATCTAATGTATAATTTGTGGTTGTGGAAGTCTACTAGAATCGACAAAAAATAATTGTTGGCAAGTGAAACCCAGCGGATTCCAAAAACTAAAAAAGTAACAAATGTCTTCCCTATTTTAATGTTAAGTATTTATATTTATTATTCAGAGCTTATCAATTGATATGAGATTATTATAATTTAATAAATAATCTTAGGTTTAAATTTTAGATATGTATCAACGTTAAATATTTAGAAAAAGAGTTTCCACTCATGTAACAATTATAC